CCCTCCATTACTCGGACCCCATAAACCCTAAACCCTCTGACGAAACCCTAGGCCCTAAGCCCTAAACCCCCAAACCTCAACGCTGTACCGTAAAGCCCGAAAGACCTAAACCCTAAACCCGAAAAGCCTTAAACCCTAAGCCCCAAAAGCCTTCAACCCTAAGCCCCTAAAACCCCAAAGACGTAAACCCCAACAGCATTGTCTACACCCTTTAAAACCTAAAGTCGACTTGTCCCCAAACCCCAAACCTCCAGAGCTCATCCCGGAGTCCAGAGCCACGGTTTAAGGGTTTACGTAGGGTTTAGGGTTCTAAGCCCTGAGCACTAAGGTCTTAAACGTCGAAGCCACAAACTAAACGCTAAGTTATGATACAAGATAAGATATGCAAGGAGCCTCTGAGGCTACCGCTTCGGGTTTCGATGCGTTTTGCGAGCATCGGTTTGAACCGCTGAACCCTCCTGAAGCCTTGAACCCTCAGAAATCCACACCGCGAGCCGGTCTTCAAAAAGCACGCTATAAAGCCTTGAAAGATGTCCGAGTGTGAGCGCCGAAAGCCCAAGCAAAAGCCCCAGTGACAAAGGTTCGACAAGAAGTACAACCCAACGTGGCACTGCGTTGTTGGTCGCAATTTTGGTGCCTTGGCCGCATTCCCCGTCGCTTTCGGTGCTTCGAAGGGTGTGGAGGGGGTCAGGTCGGGATTTGGGATGTGTCGTGTGCATAGTTTGTGGGATATGCCGTGTAAGGCTTCGGGCTGTAGGCGGTTTCAGGGCGTCAGATTTCTTTCAAGCTAAGCCTGGTCCTTAAAGAGACGCAGCTGGGCAAGCGAATTTCCATCCGGGCTCTGAGCCATTGCTGAGACTAGTTTGTTTCGCTCCTTCTTCTGATAAATTGAGTCAAGTTCCTTAGTTTGTTTCAGTTTGTTTCGCTCCTTCTTATGATAAATTGAGTCAAGTTCCTTGACCCGACCCGAAGTAAGCTGCCAAGGCTCTTATGTGACCCACGAGACGAAGCCAGGAGCTTAGCTTGGCTTCTGTTCGAGACGGGTTTAGTCAGGGCAAGTTAGGGCTGAGGTTCTCATTTTATGAGGCCAGTCTGGCAGAGAAGGGAGCCTTAGAACAGAAAAAAGCAGGGTTCGCATTAAATGCGGGCGTCAGGACCCTCGGACTTCGGATTCATGGGCTACGACCGGTTTAGGGTGCGGGGCAGGATGAAGGAGCCCAGAACACCCAGGCACTTCATCTACTTCTACCTTGGGCAAGTGGCGATCCTGGTGTTCAAATCCGGCTAGGCTCAGGCCTAGCAGACGGCTCGGGTTAGGTTTGCATGCGCAGTAGGGTCGGGCTTTTGTCCAGATTCGTTGTTCTTATGGTTTAGTGTTATGTAAGCTTATGCAGTGTACCATAATCACGACATCCATGCAAATTACATTGTTACCTTGTATTGTGCCAAAGTCGATTGCAGGTTCGTTCTTCTGATCGTGGGATTCTTGTTGGGCCCCCTGGTCATCGTTCTTGGGAAATGTGACATGTATTCAGGCTCGGATGCTGAAAGCAGCTGGACAAGTTATCGTGGGCAAGATGGCATGTATTTAGGTTGAGGGTTCAGATGGTGAGACCTGACAAGACAACCCGCTGCGAGCAGGGTAGCTGCTCGCAATCTTTCTCTGGCCTCAAGGGCCCTCAAAACCACAGCTTGGAAGCTTCCTTAAACCCCAAACCCGCTCCCAAGCATCACGCAGGACTTCGCTGCCGATGGTCAGCAAGACTTTGCAGAGCCGAGTTGCGAGACACGTTTGCACAGAATTCGGTGTGCTCTTGCTGCGGCCCCTGTGGTCGGAATGGATATTGTGGGAGAGCCGAACCCCCAATTTGCTGAGACTTGTGAAGTTTCAGAGGAAAGGGTTTCCGTTGTGCTTCCAGCGGATTGGCTTGCAGATGCCCACAGATCTACCTCCAGACTTCAGATGTTTCACTTCCCGGCCACCTGCGAAGGCATACTTGCTGTCGCCACTCCCCCAAGCGGCACGATGCCAACAGGGTGTTGTGTCGACTTCGAGGGTCGGCGTTCTGTTGCTCCATCAGAAAGACGGTGGGCAGACTGCAGGCTTTGGGACGGACGGACACACACACACACACACACACATGCGTGCATACGAGCACACACACACACGCACACACGCACACATACGCATACAATCGCATACCCTCATGTCTGCGTGCATGCACGCATGCGTGCATGCACGCATGCGTGCATTCGACACGCACGTGCATATTGTGTGTATAGGTCGGTAGATCGACAGGTTTATGGTAGGTAGGTAGATAGACAGATACAAGGTAGATAGATAGGGAGATAGAGAACCCAAAAGATATATAGATAAGGTAGGTAGGTGGGTGCGTGGGTGGGTGGGTAGGTAGGTATAGGCAAGTGGTAGAAAAATACATGGCTCCGCACACGCAGAAAAAGCTGAGCACGTATATGCATGCATGTACATGCACTCGCACGTGTGTGTGTGTGTGTGTGTGTATCGCTACATCAACAAATACGCACAGCATGCACATATATATATATATATATATATATATATGGAGCATGCATAAACACGTATTTAGATGTATACATAACATACAAATACATAGATAAATGAGTAAAAAGAAACAAAGGAATAATATATATATATATATATATATATATATATGTATAATAAGCAATTATACATATATATATATATATTTATGTATATTGCACTATATTTATATAGGTACACATATATACATTTTGATAGATAGATAGTGTGTATGTGTGTGTGCGCGTGTGTGTGTACGAAACAAATGCACATCTGTCTGCGCAGCACACATGTGGTACACTCCATACATGCATGCCACGCTTGTGCACTCAGGCTCGCACACCATCGCGCACCTGCATTCGCATGCCCGCAGCACTTTGTTCCCTCCCTGTCCAATATCTCGTTCGGAGTTTGAAGCTTGTCCCAGGTCATTATTCCGAGCTCTGACGCACCCGCCACAGGCAGAGTGATCTGCAGGGCTAAACAGCTATTGTGCTTATATGTTCAAGGCTGGCTTATCCTAAGAAGGTGCGATCGCAGGACTTCAGTGTTTCCGGGCTTTTGGCTCTAGAATATCAGGTTTTCAGGATTTGGGGCTTGGGGTTTAGGATCTCATGGTTGCTGTGGGTCCAGGCGCCTTCTGGCGACCCTGCGCGTGGCCTGCACACGGTGTGGGCCCTGGCCGGTTAGGGCTGTTCCAACTGGGGGTTTCCGAAAATAGGGGACCCTAGCATAGTACCCTAAACAGTAGGATCCTTATTATATGGACCCCAAAACCCCTCAGTTTCAACTGGTGCTAGGACAATATTTTGTTCGAGTTTTGGCTCACGACGAAGTCTGTTGTGGTTTTGGGACTGCGAGATTTCACTCTAAGTTTGCACGTTTCTGGCTAGAATGCCCATGAAGATCATGATGATTGCTGCTTGAATCACGGCGTGAATGGTGTCGTTGGCGACGAACATGGCTATGATGGTTGTGTTTTGGCGGACGCGTATCTTTATGAGGCAAAGTGTGTTGGCCACGTTTGTGGATGTTCCCAAACGAATATGCCATGCCATCTGCACCCCCTGCCTGTTCAGCGTGTCTAGTGTGGTTAGGGCGTTTAGTATTTAGGGCATTTAGGGCCTCGGAGCGCCAACGGAGGCCATTGCAACTGCCATGGATTGGAGCGATTCGAGCGGAGGATGTGGGCCTGCTTGCCTGAAGACTAGAGTGACTATAGCTGTTGCATATGACGCCTATAACCTCATTGCATTACCAAGTCGCTGATCCCCCAAGCAAGGGCTACATGGGGCCTATGGCTCTGGGCAAGGCTTTGGGAGGGTTCGCGCTGAATGCACCCCCAAGTGAGGTGAGAGTTTGATGCTATAAGGCATCAGATCGTGGTTTGGAGTTGGGCTGCCATGCTATTGAATTTGGGGTTATCAAGGCTGGTGGATCTCAGGGGTTGTGACTCGCAGGCCTTGCCGGATTGCTGCAGTTCGGGGAGCACGCCCGTCAAACCTTGTCGAGCTTTACAAAACCCAAGAGTTTTGTTCTTGGGTCCGCAGGAGTGCCCTCTGCCCACGCCGGGCGCCTACGTTCGGGGTTGGGGCGCCTGCGACAGGCACGAGGCGTCAGGCACTAGCAGCAGCAGCGGCAGCATCGCCGCTGCCGCCCCCACCCCAAACCACTACCATCGCCACCACCATCTGTAATGCCACGTTTGGTCCTGTGGGAATTTGGGAACCCTGGGTTTAGAAGCTCCGGGCCGTGCCAAAGCCCAGTCCGAACCCACATGCTGTGACATCCGCCTGCATGAAATCTCGGTTCCAACCTGATCTCTGAAATCAACGCTTCCAGAAGTTCGAGAAACGTACAAAATGCAACCTCACCGAAGCTCAGTGGCTCAAGCTTCTGTCCAGTTAGCCGAGCAGCTCATTAGGGGGTTGCTGATGAGGAGGACGACACGAATCTTGTTATGCTTAGTTAAGCTCTTTTGAGATTCCGCTTTTCCATGGCTGCCAACAGTAGAGCATCCCTCCTTTGCAGTTGTCTTAGTTTTTGAAGTGTAGGCTTCAACCTTAAAGCTGACACTGTGGTTCTTGCCATGAAGATCTTGCAAGTCGGGCCGCAGCTTCTGACCAATCGGGAGGCCTCGCCGTGCTGAGTTGAGCACGACACTGGTGAGTTGGTCAGTGTGCACGGGGCTCCCTGGGAGTGTTAAGGTGTGCATCTTTGGGTTTCCTATGGAAAATACGACTGAACACAAATCCGTACTCAACACGCCAGCCCTGGTCCAGTTTTTGTCTTCTGGGTTGGTGTTTAAGGTGAGATCCCTGGATTCCTAAGCACCCTAACCGCTAAACCCTGAACCTGTGTGAGCGCCGAAAATCGTATTGAATGGCTACGGCTCAAGCTTTCGACTCAACCCTTTCTATGCTTAGCAGTGGGTGCCATGCGGTCGTCGGGGAACTTTCGCCGAGCTGTGGCTGTTGCAGCAGCCACCGCCGTGGCGACGAGTTGCACCACGGCCCTGGCGGAATCCAGGTCTGCAGCTGCGCCAGTTCCGCTTCTGGGAGGGCCTGTGTCGTGGCACTTCGGACAATGGCGGCCGGTAACGGATGCCGTCCGCGGAGGGGTGTCTACGGCGAGGCTGATACCGAGCGAGGCCGGCGCCAGATTCCAAGGAACTCTGGACCCCAGCAAGCTGAAAGCGGGGTTCGCTGGCGTTAACCTCGACGTTGCGGAGCTTCCAAAGCCGCTGACGGATTTCACAGGCCTGAAGCTCGATGTAGCCGGCTCCGACGGGCGAGAGTACACGCTGCTCTTGAAGATCCGGGGAGCTGAGGCAGGAAGCTCTTACCAAGTCCGTTTCACTCCGGCGCCAGAGGAAAGCCTAGAGGTGCCGTTTAGCCGTTTCGCCGGCTTCCGTCGCGGGCGGCCCGATCCGACTGCGCCGCCTCTGCATACAGCTGATGTGGGAACGATCGCCCTGCAGATTGCGAGCAACTTCCAGGAGCAATCCGGAGACTACCAGCTGGGTTTGAAGGGCCTTGCCGGCGTGAGGGATGCCGCCGCTCCTGAGAGCTAGGCCCATGCTAGGCACTTCGCTGGCTGAGCCTTACTCCGGTTCTCTGGTCAGGTTTCCATGCCTTAGTTGGGTTTAGGGTTTAGGGTTGAAGCCATAAGCCAACGGCTTTTCAGTGGCTCCTGTCTGGGAGACTGCCAGTTCAGGCTTGCGTCGCGTTCAGAGGCGAAAAGGCTGTCGGGCTGGCGGTAAGATGTAGCTTCTCAGCTAGGCCTCTTCTTGTTTTCCTCTTCTGGGCACTTCGCTGGGTGAGCATTACCGGTGCTGTTGTCAGGTTGGGTAAGGGCCCATAGAAGGGTTCTGTCATTGCCATGTTTCAACTATCATTACCACCACAAGCCACTGCATGTTGAGTCGTTCCTGTCTTTTTTGTGGGTTGCGAGTGCAGAAGGTTGCCTGTAGTCCAACCTAGAGACTTCGCCTGGCTGTGTCCGAGTTGAGCAGCCGGTACCCCGTGTCTTTGGGCCCCTTAGACCCACAATCACACCAAACTTTCTGATCATCGGTTGAGCTCGTATTGTAACTCCTAACGAAAAGTTTAAACAACAACATCTCGAGAAGACCCATTTGTAGCAGTGGTCGTAGTGTTTCGATTCACCCTGCCCATTGCTCCCTAGTTAATGAGTTTACTTTGCACCGTGTAATTATTTACATATGTCTACATATACATATATATATATATATATGTGTGTGTGTGTGTGTGTGTGTCTGTGTGTGCGTGTGTACATATACATAATGGGTATAGGCATAGGTACAGCTATAGCCTTCAGAGGGCTAAAGTATGTTCCAAAGTTCAGGTGCACCGAGCCGAGGCCTCTAACCACTGAGCCCTGAACCCGAAACCCGAAACCCTTAACTCTAAACCCAAATGTCAACCCTAAACCCGAAGCCCTAAACCCTAAACCCTGAACCCTAAACCCTAAACCCAAAACTCTAAACCCCAAACCCTGAACCCTAAACCCTAAACTCTAAACCCAAACAGGCATTGGGCGCAGCGAGCCGAAGCCTTCAGACCTGACCCAGGTGTATAGCATCGTGACGGAGGAGCTGCCGCACCTGCGTGACAGGACTTGTCTCACATAGTTGCAATGATGCAAACATTAGCACTAGTGATCATGATATCATGACTACTGGTAGTAATAGATGATAACATTAACACGAATTAATGGACCGAAGCCTCGCCTGCTTTGTCGAGGGTGAGTGCTGCAAAAACACGAATAATGATAATATCATTGCTACTAGTTTCTAGTAATCATAGTAGAACTATGAACGGAAGGCACAAGGTTTTATACTGGGAAGAAGAAGCTTTTATACTCCAGGGCTTGCGGCACGTCCGTGCTTCTCAAAACCAGCGGAGTAGAAACAGACACCATACGCACGACACTCAGTTTGTCCCGGTGCAGGATTCCTTTCGAGGTGCCTCCTTCATCGAAAATTTACCCTGAGAGGCGCCCCATTTTATGTAGGCACCCTGTTTGCCCAAAGCCAGGACAAGGCTCCTAGACAAAGAGGAGGGCAAGGCCGCAGAGTCGCACCCTCTCAGTGAGAATGTTAGGATTTAGGGCCTTCAGGGTTTAAGGTTCTTGGGTTTTTTGGGGGTTGTACTGGAAGAAGCTAGACGTTTTTGCTTCGGGCATCCGACGTAGACCAAGATGATCCAGCTAGACTTCGGGCTCAGGAAATCGGGCTTAGGAACCATCTCGGGCAGATCATGCTCTATTTGTGTCTGGTAGGTATGGCTACAGCATGCGGCCACATCAGAAGAGTCAAGTGGTGGACGCCCGACAAACAAGCCTGGGGGTCTCAAGGCAGCCTCAAATTGGCCGGAGAAAGTGTGCGGCCTTTGAACCTCGCCAGTCGCTGCAGGCGCGGGACGACCGCGAGGGTCTGCGGCGTCATCTAGAGGCAGCAGGGGGCTGAGTTGCTCCAGTGCACCACCAAGAATTGGCTTGGGGTCTTGCGGCGTCAAGTTTCAGAAGGGTTGATCTTGAAACCTCGGAGTTTATTTTGGTTTGCTTCTGCCCTTAAGCCGTGTTTCTCTGCCTTCTTTGGGCTGCAATCTTGTTGCGGAGAGGTGGGAGGCAAAGGCATCGGGGCGTGAGCTTGACTTAGGTCTGTGATGCAGGGGCAGCTTGTTCATGGAGTATCCCATCCCAAAAGCTGCTCAAATTCCCCCCCGACCCCTGGCTTTAGACAAAAACATCAGCTGAGAACGAGCGGATGGCCAGCTACTTGGAGCGCTGCAGCCCCCTGGTGACGAAGCACGACAACGCGGCAGTCGGTCGGTTTCTGGAAGGGCTGGCAGATGCCTGACTGTAAATATATGTGAGGGCAACTCCTGGTGTACAGCACGCTACCTTACTTGTTTCATTCGGGTACATGCACGTATGACCCCAGGCTGCAGGTCATCCATGCCATGGTAGAGTGATGAGGGTAAGGTGTGTTGGGGCTTATTTCGGCGTGTCGCAGCGAAAGGCATCAGGTTCAGGTTGCGCCTATGCGATATTTCGCAAGGCCGGCTGTGGAGCAAGAGCCCTCTCTGTTGTTACAGCGAGGGCTCGTGACATTTTGCTTGGGCAGTTGGCGGTTTCAGAGTTGGGACTTTAGGACAATTTGGGGTTTCGGGAGTTTCGGGTTCGGATTTGCTTCAGGCTTAACGTAGCTTCAGCGAGGAGGCGGCAAGCTTCTAAGGGTAGTAGTGGCTTGCAAGCTTGCAGAAAGAGTGGGTTTAGGTTTCAACCTCCTCTGTAAGTTGGAGCCTTGCAGGCCTGGACAGTCGAGCTCCCAACCCTATGCCCCAAACCATACCCCACAGCCGACAGAAGCCTGAATCCCCTCCAACAGCTCGTAAAACGCAAGGAGTTGGGGAAGAAGGATTTCACGGACGACGAAGTGCTCCAGTCGCTAGTACGAGAAAGCGCCCGAAGCCCCTAACCCTCACCCCATCGATCCTTAACGCCAACCCGTTGACATTCGCAACCCATCCTAAAACCCTAATCTCTACGCCCAGGCAGTGCAGTCTGAAGGATTTTTGGTTAGGCTGATGAGCCCACCACTGAGCCTTTCCTACACCCTTACGTCCTGCACAGCTGGAATGGCTGAACCAACGAGATCAAACGGTCCCGGGTGTAAGGGCTCAAGGGTCACGCAGGGTTTAGGGCTTTAAGGGGTCGCCTGTCTACAGGGTTTTACTCGTGCTTCAGAGTTTTGAGGTTCATCAGAATTATGGGATCATAGGAGCTTGTTGATGCCTTTTTTTTGGTGTCTAGGGGGTGCAGGGTTATATTCTGTTCAAGGGAGGATACGGGTCAATTTAGAATTTATGCTTGGGTCGGGTGATTGTTGAAACTTGTATTCGATGGCTTCAGAATGGGTCCGACAAGTTGAAAAGTGCCGCCGAGGCTTGTGAACATGGGCCCGATTGATCCACTGTATATCTTCGGCATCTGCGAAGACAGCGATCGACGATTTGGCGAAAAAGACTTGCAGCACATCTGCTGCTTGGCTTTCTCGGCCAATGGATCCTCGAAAACTTGAAACAGCGTTGTGGGCTTATGGCTTGGGTTCAGGGCTGCGAACATTCCCTATCCATATACGGGGTGATGTTCATGTGGCGTATCTCGGCTGCACAATTGGACGATCAGAGGCTTACACTTTTCACCTCGGTCGCTCGGCTAGGGTAGACGCACAGCTTCCTTTAGCCCCGGTCTTCGCTTAAGAGTTGCTCTGGCACGAGAGTACTACTAGGTAGTATTTTACAAGTATGATTCTAGTTAGTTATAGTGCAGTATTGCACTATTCTAGAGATTCTTTCATGATCTTACAGCCAAGGTGGCCTGGCACAGCAGCACCTGGGCGACTTGGCTTGTCTTCAGCTGCCAGTGAAGAGCCCAGAATTCTGTTAGGAAGCTCAAGCCTGCTCATGTTGCTGCACAGTCTTCCTTATTATAATTGTACTATGGTAGGCTCCAATGTCCTTGCAGGGCCACTGTATTACGGGAGAGTTGGGGAAATGGGGAAATGTAGCCCTGGGGGTGAGTTTGGACTTGCGAGGTCGTTGTACCCAGCCCAGTGATCGCAAAATGTGTCGCGAGCCAAGACCAAAGATGCTCCAAATCCTGCAGGCCCCGAAGGGATCTGGTATTCCCCGCTTAGCATGAACCCTCAAGCCTAAACCGTTAACCCTAAATCCTAAACCCTAAACCCAAAGAGCCCTTTAAACAACAAACACCCTAAACACCGTGAGTGGAGGGATCTGGGAGTGGGTGCAGGGGCCGAGAGCCTGGCTCCCGATCCCGAGTCAGCGGCCGCAGACCCGGAGGTTTCGATTCAGAGACCCGGAGGTTTCGTAGTTGAGATCGGTCTGGGGTTTAAGGTTTAGGGTTTGGGGTTTGGTTTGGGGTTTGGGGTTTAGGGTTTAGGGTTTGGGGTTGAGGGTTTGGGGTTTGGGGTTCAGGGTTTAGGGTTTGGGGTTTAGGGTTTAGGGTTTACGTGCGTCCTGCAAAGGCTCTTGAGGTTGCATAAGAGTTCTGCAGGAAGTCATGGAGTTTGCTGGATAATATAATATGGTTTTATATGGGCTTCTTGACATTTAGGGGTGCCTCATTTTAGGGCTCCTCCTCATGGTGGGGATCCTGCTATTTGGGGAATATGTTCCCTTATGTTCTGGAGGCTCGAAGAGGCTTCAGACGAGACGGTTTCAGGCTCAATGGGGTGTCAGGTTTTATGTTCATAGGACTTTCGAGTGTGCAGGTGTTGAGTTTAGGCCTCGAGGGTTTCCAGTAGGTTTACAGTAGGCTTTTGCAGCTTTCAGGCTTTATGCCTTGGGTTTACTTGGCTTGAGGACAAGATCCTGTTGAAAAGCATGGCTTACATACTTGGGTTTAGTAGGGTTTATCTGAATCTTGCAAGCGGGTGGAGACGGCAGCTCGGAAGGCATCAGGGTTTCGGAAGCTGGCGCCAAAAGACACCGGCTGGTGGTGTCGAGACTTGGGCCCGAAACGCAACTTAAAATAGGGGTCCGGATAAGTAGTACTACGAAGCCCTGACCGTAAAGCCGCGATATCTTTACCATAACAAGCCCCTGAAAGCCTTATTTCTGATTCCCTGGAAGCTTCCTTTCAGGCAGGACTCGTGTTCAGGTGCCCTTTTCTCTGACAGCAGAAACGTAGACGAGGTCGAGATGTAACGTGTTTTTCCAGCCGGCCGTGTTGAAGTGTTTGCCAGACGTGCTGTATCTGCTTGTCTTCGTGCTTTTCTTTTTTCGCCTCGGCACTGGCTTCCCACCACGTTGTTGCCATGCCGAGGGATGCCGGCTCAGCTGCTTTTCCACCTGCCAGTGTACCTGACCTTGGTGAACGCGGAAGCTTCAGACTTCGAAGCCAATCAGCCTGCTTTACCCTAAACCCTAAACCCTAAACCCTAAACCCTAAACCCTAAACCCTAAACCCGAACAGCTTCGAACAAGAATTCCGTTTATCTCCCCCGGCCCCGCCGAGGAGGAAGTAGAGCAGGAACCTGCTGAGGCCACCCGGCTGGTTCCTGGAGTTTGTTGCTTTGGCTCTAGGCTTTGAGGGGGGGGGGCAAAATCTCAGGGACAGGGGCCTCGACATTCCGAAACTCGGGACTTGACCGCAGTCTTCTGGCCCAGAAGGATTTCGTTGAATGGATGACGACTGTGGAAACATGCTTCTTGTTGGAGCTGCGTGCATTGGTCATGGGGCAATGCAGAGGGGTGGCCAAGAGCTTCGTAGATTCCATGCGCCGCGCCATGCTGGCGCCGTCCCTGCCGACCACTGGGGACATGCTGGCGACCCTGCCTCTGCCTCTGCCGCCTCTGCCGCCGACGCCTGGGACTGAAAGCCAAAGGCCTCTACCATCCCGGTGTCACCATTCTCCCATTCATCCCAAGTCCTCAAGTTTCGCCGGCCTCGGATTGCCTTTGGCTTTGGCTCGGCGAAAACGAGCCACCCGGCGGATCTGCCGAAACATCGCCGTCAAAGAGCCTCGGTCGCGCTCGGGACAGCTCTTGCAGATACGCGTGTGTGTGTGTGTGTGTGTGTGTGTGTGTGTGTGTTTGACCGTTTCAGATGCACCGGATAAGAACAGCAAGAGTCTGCTCAACAAGCAGTCATCACAGACCCTTAGGCCTTCGGCCTTAGACACGAAACTCTTCAACACAAAGCCCCAAAAGCTCGCTCCAGTCAGAGCAGCCCAAGGAGGAGATCACAGCGCTCTCCACCGGGGCGGCTCCTTTGGACAAGGCCTTGGGCGGCGGCCTGCCGTGCGGGCACATCGTCGAGGCCAAGGGGTTCTGCAAGGGTTCACTTAGCGCATCATACGACGTCTACGGGTTCTGCAAGGCTCTTCAAAATTTTCAGCCCTATATAAAAGGCACAGAGGCGTAAGAGGTTGCTCAACTGCTGGACAGTTTTACAGTTTCATCGCGCCAGGCCGGTCGGCAAAGCAAGAAGCCCGTTGCAAAAGAAAGTTTAGGCATTAGGGGTACGCTAGAACTGCGACAGCAAACTAAACCGCGAAACATCCCGAAATCCAAGTACTAAATGCCTTACACAACTGAAAGCCAAATCCCTCAACCCCAAACCCCTGTTTGTTGTCGTACTCGTAGTGATGATTGATCTATCTGGGATTCCTGAACCCTGTGCACGTGTCTCGCTAGTTATGTGGGGATTTCCAAAAATAGGGGACCCTACTATAGTACCCTAAATAGTAGGATCCTTATTATAAGGACCCTAAAATAAGGTACCCCTTATTTTCGGAAACTCCTATGTGTTGTGGACCAGCCGTCGTGAGGCCTTGCCTTGTGCGAGCGTGAAAGCCGAAACCCTAGACCCCAAACCGCAAAGCTTGACGCCTGCCTCGCTTGGATTGTCCGAGTTGTCGGCGCCGAGACCTCAAAACAAAAAAAGTCCCTAAACCCACTGTGTGCTCTGAGTCCGGGGAAGTGTTGCACCCTGGACATGCGCAGTTTTGCGCCTCGCTGTTTCAGCATCAAAGGACAATGAATCGCCTCCAACCCCAGAACACTCTGTGGGACTAGCGACCGGGAGCGGAGCGGCATTTGGTGAGGTGTGTGATGGCTTAGCTCCTAGTGGTGTTTCGCGGCCTCGGTGTACCTGTGCGTGATGTCATTATTCCTTCCTCCCGATGCTGGCAGCACCCTTCTTTTTGGTCCGTCCCCAAAACTTGAAAGACCTCATCCCGACTGCCTGTGAAACCGAAAGCAATCATTTCCCAAATTCTAAAGATTCTAAACCCTAAACCCTAAACGGCCCTAAACCCTAAGCTCCAGACGTCTCCTTGCCATGCCTGTTTCGTGCGAGCGTGTGAGTCGAAACCCTAAGGCCTGAATCTAAGACATGCGACATGCCGGGCCAGGTCATAGGTTGCCCTCAGAGCGGCAAGACCTCCCTGGCTCTGTCCCTGGACGGCTCTTGAACATGTGTTTTTTTGTAAGTTTTGAACAAGTTTAGGGTTTTGCAGCTCTGAGAACCAGGTGGGCATGTACAAGTCGGTGCAAAAAGGGGTTGAGGGCTTAAATCCTGAAGTAGTGGGTTAGCTTTTAGGGTTTGGGCGAGTAGCTCACCGTTTGAAGGGGCCTGGCCGCCCAGGTCCTGCGTCGCCGGGGCACAGGCCACGGGCCGGCGACAGCGCTGCTTGGGTTGTTGTGTATGCTTTTTTTGCATTTCTTTATGTGACTACTAGTTTGTTTCATGATGTTTTATGTTTTTATTGCCATTTTGTCTTGGGAGAGCGGGGTGCCTGGACAAGCATATTGGGAAGGACTGTGTTGGGTTATTGTCGCTGATCATTCAGACTCCTACAGCGATTCTCTGTTTGCTCCGGATCCGTATGACAAGGGTGAGGTACTCTTGGGGCTAGTGCGGCTAGTGAGTGCACAGTTTAGGCGCAGAGGTAGGGTTTCAGGATGTAGGACGAGTTCAAACAAAGAATGTAGGACGAAGTGTTTCAGTGCTTTTAAAGCACTGCTTAGTAGTCAGGATGCGTAATAGTTGAGTTGGTGAACTTTGGAAGCTTTTTGCGTCTTAGACAGCGACCTTTCAATCTGAAACAGAATTGTGCAAGCAAGGCTGTGCCATCATGGATATGGACGGATGCCTAGGCCCGACTCTTGGCCAAGGCGCTTCAGGAGGTTCTTTGACGACTTGACGGTGTCGTAAAAGATGCCTAGCAGGGGTGGGGCGTTGGGGGGCTCCCCTTGGAGGCTTCCACAGGCCACGTCGCTCACACTCGAACCAGCTGAACCCCAGATCTCAGATGCCCCCTAAGTCCAGAAGCTCAGGGGCCCTAAAGTTCCCTAAACCCTAAACCCTAAACCCTAAACCCGAAGCCCGAGAGACTCAGGAGGCACCTGGTCGAGATGGGCGTGAGCCTGGCCAGAGACAAGCTGGATGTCTTTAAACCCCGCTCGGCTGAGGAGGTTGTGAGCATGATCCAGGAGCCGTGGTCTTGGGGACCCAAAAAAGGACGTAAGCATAAAGCATTCTATAATAGGGAGATCCCTACCTTATTGGGCTTCATTATAAGGGGATCTATATGGGATATCCCTATCCTAGTTTTTGCTTATGTGCTCTTTTGAGGCCCTAAAATTGACCGGTCTAAGGCCAAATTCAGGAGTACTTGGTTCGGTTGTTCGTTCATGGCTTTCCGTTTAATCAAATTTGAAGGCTTGGGGGGAGAAATTAAGCCTAAGCCTGAAGCGCTAGACCCCTAACCCTCCCTGGCTTTTGAGCCTCTCGCGTGCCTGCACATAAGACACAAGGGAGTTCCACCCCCCCAGGATCTGACCAAGTCCAGATTCTTTGACCTTATTGTGTTGGATTCCTTGGGGTCCATGACCTCTGAGAGCCAACTTCGCTCTGACCTCAAGGACATGGGGCACAATTTTTCAGTTTTTTCTCTTCTCAGAATCGGAGTTTATGGAAGGTTTCACGGGAATTTGCATGGGGCGTAGAGGCTTCAGTTGTTGGGTTCTGGGGCATGCGCGGATTGTGGGGTGCAGGGGTTTGGTTTTGAGTGCCACTGCGATTCCACCGGCCACGTCTCCATGGCTCTTCCTTCTCATGGTGGCTGAAGCAAGCACAGTAGAGGAGCCACCGTAATACTGGAAGGACGGAGATAGTTTCGGTGCGAGTGACCTCACAAAGATTCTCTCCAAGTTCTTCCGACAGGACTCCCTCTCAGACCAAAGCTTCTCACGGGCATGTGGTGCAGTCTTTGCGTTTGGGCTTCAGGGGTCGTTCAGGACACCAAGTGGTTTCCGTGCTTGCAGGGCTTCGGGCACGCATCGGGGGACCGGAGCGACGTTTTTTGGCATCATGGTTGGACCTTGTTTTTTTGAGCCTTCATCATTTTTCAGAGGTTCGATTTTCTCACTTCGGGGCTTTAGAAGTAGTGTGTTTAGGGTTCTGGCCCGCTGAGGGAAATTGAAAGGTTGAGGGTGCCGGGTGGTACAGGGCCTGGGTTTAGATCCACGCCCATGCGCATCTGGTCCCTGTTGGCCCCAAGCCCCAAAACTCTAAAGTGTGAAAAAATCAACCATTGCGGCAACCAGCAGCGATCTTGCCATGCCGGTGGCTGTTCAGATGGACGAAGTTTGTCATCGGCAAAATTTATGCAAAGCATCGACCCGTTGTTCCCGTCAGCTATGCTCTTAGATTGTGGCTTTGACAGTTGGAGAACGGTGTCCTAGAGGCCAAGCTGCCCTTCATGAACACATCCCGCACTACCTCGAGAAGTATACCAAACGATGGGAGTGGGGTGTATTCCTTTTGGGGGAAGCCCTAAGCCTAAAGTTCCCTAAAGAGATGTTCTGGCAGGCGGCTCCCATGCTGAGGCAGTGCCGGACGACCCTCCTTTGCCCCTTAGACCGGCGCTTTTCATTTCGAGCTTAGGGCTTGAGGTTCAGGGTTTAGGTCTAGGATTCGGGTCCAGCGTTTTGGTTTCAGGGTCAAGGCGTGGTGCATTCGTGGTCCTTGTGCATTGCTGCCCTGGCCACCTGTATCCGTATTCTAAACCTAAACACCCCCAAAACCCTTCGCTCCAAAACGAGTCTAAACGGTCTTGGAAAGGCTCTTGGGAAACGTTTGGCCATAAGGGTGCGAAATGATGTGACTCCGTAAAACCAGAGCCCGCAAGCATTCCGATTAAAGGGAACCTAAAACCTGGGACCGTCAAACCTTCAACTATAAAGCCCTGAACTCGAAATGCTGGACCTTAAACCTTCAACATGAAAGCCTGAACCCTAAACCGGAAACCATGCCAAAACCCCAGAGCCTAAAACTCAAACCTGAAACCCCTAAGCCCGCGGAGCCCTTAAGCCCTGAATCTTCAGCCTTGAAGCCTGATGTCGCGCACTCTGTCTTAAGCATCAACTCTGCAGAAACTCTGGGGTATGGGATTCCATTACGCGAAATAAGAAATCAACAGGGAACCTGAGTTTATGGTTCAGGGTATTTCGAAGTTCAGAAGTTGCGACTTCGGGTAAGGGTTTTTAGGGTTAGGGAGGTGCAAAAGGGCCAGAGAGCGGTGCACCGAAGTTTCTGGCAATTGCAGTTCGCTTTCCTGAGAATACCTAGAAGATGGACCCTGCCGCTGAGGCTTTATATAGCAGGCCCCGTTTTAAACAGCCGGTTATCCATCAAACGGAGAAGCGAAGCAGTCGGTATTGGCATCGGGAGTTGTTAAAGACAGACACAGGGACCAGACTTAGAGCAACCACACCTTTCATGCAGGTGAACGGCTTTGGCCGGGGGACATCCGATTTTTACACATGCTATTCCAGAGTGTTGTTGAGGATGGCGGCGCAGGTTCAAAAAGCCTTGATACAGGCAGTGGTACGCACTGCCAGGCAGAATATACCGGTCACCACAGTATAGCGTTATAGTTACAAGACTAGAAGCCTCACAGTGTGCACACACGATGTACCGATGTTTCATGGAATTGGTAGTAAGAGTACCAGCGATCGGAGGCCATTGCATGGCAGATCTGGTGGGAGCAATCATTGTCTTCATAGCGACAGTAGCGACGATAGCAGTGTCAGCAGCAAGAGGACGATAGTCAGGAAGGGCAAAAAAACCGAAGGTCATGCTAACAACACGCAGCATACCTAGCAGCAGTAGAAGAGCAGTACGAGCAATAGCCGCGACGTTTGTATATGTCTCTGAGAACCTCCAGAACCAGAACAGTCTCAACAATGGCAGCAATCAAGGCTCGTCGTAGCTGGACTGCTCGCAGCAAGCTGCGGACCCTGGGCCCTATCAAAACCTAAATCTGAAATCTCAAGAGTCACAAAACCAAGAGCCCTAAAGTTCATGAGGTTGAGGGGCTGCAGCTTCCATTGAATCCTCGCGTTGAAGCTTCACGCCCAACGATCCGAGCAGTGAAACTCCAAAGCCGTAACCGCCCTAAATCCCAAATTGGCCTAAGGGGTTTATGCCATTTATGGTCTAGACACCACAGATCTCAACCAACGCCCAAGGTACCAACCAGTTCCGAGGGGGATCCTTGCTCTTCGGCCCGAAAGAGGCGTGCCGCCTTGAGCTCCCCAGAGACTCCAATACCCCTTTATTAAGGAATATAGCTTAAATTATTGTAGGATCCCGAATATGATTTAAGGTGTATTCCTGAATTCAGGTTGGAGTTTCTGGGTCTGCTTGGATAGTCCAGCAAGCGTCGTCTCGGGCTACGGCAAGGTTTTCGTGGTGGCATTGATAGGGCTTGTAGAGCGCTCGTAGGGTGGTAGGGGGTTTGGTAGAGTTTAGGGTTTAAGATTCACTTCAAGGGTCAGGGCACCTGATGAGGCAAAGTTTGTGAGTAGAGCTATGTTGGGTTTCTTTATAGGTTTCGGCAGGACTTTCAAAGGGGTTGCCATCCGGTTTTGTAGACGTTCTCGGGTAGTCGTGACGTGAGCGCGTGGAATTGGGGTCAGAAGTAACCACAGCTGTTGCTGCCTTACTTATCACCGTATTTACTTACGAGTGTTCGTGTGTCAGGCCTCAGGGTGGACGAGTTAAGTTTCGGTGCCTTGGGGTTTTGGGGGTGTGTGGTTTCGGTGGAGCTGCAGGGTTTGGCCTTTCAGATGTTGGGGCCCATGGTCGCGGATTGAGCGTTTCTGTTTTTGGCTTCAGATCGGCTTCGTTATGGCCTACACCCTAAACCCTAAACCCTAAACCCTCAAAGCCCTAAATCCTAAACCCTCAACACCCTAAACCCTAAACCCTAAACCTCACCCCCCCTAAACCGCCCTATACTATCGAACGGGGAGTTTGTTGTAATGCCATGAGGTGCAGGATCTTGGGGTTGAGGATCTCGAGTTCGGAATTTAGGCCTTGAGTGCGATGTGCTACGAGGGACATTGGCCGGGCGAGCTCCAATCAAGCCTGTGTAAAAAGGCCTTGAGGCTACGGGTTTCTCAGGACAGCAGAGCTTTTTTGGGCTTTGGCTTAGGGCTCTGAGGGCTTCAAGGTTAGGGTTTAAGGGCTTCGACGTTACAGTGGGGTGTTGAAGTTTCAGGCTTGAGGCTTTTGCTTCCATGTCGGGGTTGGCGCAAGTGTGGTGAGACCGCGGGACATGTAGTAAAGATGTCCCCCTTTATGTTGCGAGGCGGGAAGGCCGCTGGCAATTGATTCTTTGTAGCAGTTTCCATTCTGTATCGATATGCCTGGGGGGTGGGGTTTTGTGGATTCCCGTTCAGCGTTTCAGTGTTGTAGAACTTTTGGTTTTGGGGAGGTTTACATGAGTGTTTTGGACTCACAATGTGCATCTTGGTGCCTTGGGCAGCTCCTGGGCGCTCTTTCACTGCTTGGGGTGCAGTGCGACCTCGTCAGCGAAGCGGCTGGGAACAAACAAACCTAAACCCTAAACCCTCCCTGCGGTGCGACAGAGTCATCTGGGCGGGTGGGAAAAAACCCTAAACCCTAAACCGTGGCTGCATGTAGGTGCCCTTTGGCGGCCAGGCCCTAGGGAGGCGGTCATCCGTCCGCCTGTGCCTGGGCGCATTTTTTGTCCTTTGATTCCGTTCGGGGTCTTATTTGGGCTTTACAGGGGTTTCGTACTCTTGTGTAGGACGGGTTGCTGCCTTTGTTTTCCAGAGGAATCCACGGCGTCTCTTACGATGTCGATCAAGTCTATTGCGTTGATTGCGTACTGCTGATCTGAAGAAGACTAGTGACTAGAAGAAGCACTAGTGCATTTGCGACTCAGAACACGCAGCACTATTGGTTGCGCGGGTGGCAGTAGCAGTGCTGCATCGGCCGGGAACAGCAGTGCGGAGTAGCTGAGTTTGAAGAAAGAGTGGTGCACAGCCAGAGAAGATGGCTGATCGAATCGCTAACAGGTAGTAGGCCATAAGCCTGCAGCAGCAATGCGCATTGCTCTGACAAGGAAGTGATCCAAACGCAAGCATGTCATACTCGTTTCCCGTGCTTGCCTCCGAAATAAGGTGCACCATCGAGCCGCAGATTCGGGAAATCGCCGGATGCGCACCCAGCCTCCAGTGCCAGGCACTTCGGCTGAGAACCTGCGATGCGTTTCCGGGTTGTCGACACCTTCTTGTTGTGCATTTCGCGAATCCCGAAGATATTGCGTCTCAGTTGCCTCGGCTGTCTCTGAGAGTTGAAAGCGTGCCAGGTGGAGATCATCAAGTTCGCTGGTGTGCCTGACCAAAGGCAGACGGCCACCAGCGTGGAGTTCGGGTTGGTCTTTGGCAAAGGCGCCCTGCTTGCTGGTTGGTGTGATGGCAGTGAACTTTTCGTACTGGTCAGTTTCTTACCATATGCTCTTGCCTCAGGAGTTGAAAACCCCCGAGCATCAGAATGCTGCAGCATACGCTTTTCGTTGTTCGCGAGGTTTCGGTGAAACTTCTCTGCATGAGCTACTCCCAGCGGCCAAAGACAAGTTTTTCTGAATCGGTGTCAGGTGCGAGCTGGGGTGGAAGCATATCGGATCTCCGAAGCAGTGAGCACGATGTGCCGGAGCTATCTGTGTAAACACCTTGCGACCGCCTGCTGATTTCTGAAACCTTGTTTTGGTTGTTGAGATCTCTTAGATTCGGATAAGCAGATGAACACTAGGTCCTGCCGCAGGAGATGTCACTCGTGTGCACATTAGCTCTGCGAGGCGTGCTTGTAATTCGCTCTCGAAGCGCTTTAGCATCCGAAACTGCCGACGAGCCCCTGCCAATGTCAATGCCTGTTTGTTTAGCATTGGGTGTTAAACTCAGTCAAGATGCTTGCAGGCCGTGATCTGGCTAGACTTGAGTCCAGTAGCAAAAAGAGTTTGGCAAGGACATAGGTTTTGTGTGAGACAAGAATGAGCCCAGAACCCTGGAATTTCCAGGACACTGTGAGGCCAAGCTAGCCAGACAGCCGAATGTTGTCGAATATAGCTTCAGCCAACATACGAGAAGAAGGTGATTGTGTTGGCATAGCAAGATGGCAAGAGGGTTTTTGTGATTTGATTGAGCTGGCCCTGAAGTAGCGCAGAGGAGAATTTCATAATTTCATCTACCGACATGTAAATGAACATGCAGCTTAGGAGCATATGCCATCTTCACATGTGAAGGTGGCGTAGAGTTATGCTGTAAGTTCGTGGCAGATCGCGGAGTGTTTAGAACATCAGGCGGCAAGGTCGCGGACGTTGAGCTGCTAGTGTCACGAAATGGTAGTATGAAAGTAGGATGCGACGAGAAGATGGAACCTGCCAATTTAACGGCAACGACGCAGCACCTCAGGACTGCCCAAGGACGAGGCAACAGTAACTGTACCCGTGTCGCATTGGAGTATTGGCAGAGGTTCAGACGCTGTGGCCAATGCTCAAAAATGTTGCACAAGTCAGCTCCGTGGTTTGATAGTTGAGCTCAGAAACACCATATCGTCAGTTTTAAATGGCCCATGACCAGCAGATAGACCCCAGCACGGTCAAATTCGGCTCTCCCGTGAACTCCCACAGGCCAACCGATCCTAAGCAGAGTGATTGAGTTGAAGAGTTTGCAACTCGAATATTTTGATTTCCACTGACACAGCCCAAGTGCCATTATGCAAGGTGCGGCCTCAAGTAATCCGACTGAGCATTAGCAGTCACCTACCCTAAATGCCTGAGAAACCACCCGACCCCCCCCCAAGTCCTGTCAGCATCCGGGCGAGAGAGTCGAGATGTCACTTGCGGGATCAGGGGGCATAGCAAGTAGGTTTAGGGGCAAGGTTGCAAGTTGTAATCGGGATGGTCGCCCGGATTAGCTCGGGCTCCTTATAACTGGAATCCCTGCATCAAGGACCCACTAGGTCCACTGATCCCCACGTTGAGTTTGACCGAAAAGAGACACCGTCGAGGCAGCTGAAGAAGATCATGATGTCAAGAAAGAGGAGAAGGAAGACCGTGATGTGAAGGAGGAGAAGGAAGAAGGCCGATCCCTTTTCGGGGATGATTGGGGTGCGTGATTGCGAATCGCGATGCTTCCGTGAGTTCACGTCCTTGGAATGCGTGTAGGCCAAGTAGTAGTCAGGGTCGAGGAGTTGGCTGAGCTCTGGCGGGCAGGGAGAAGAGGGTCCTGAAATGAAGATTGTGGGTTTACGTAGCCGGTTGGGTGCTAGCGAAAGTTTGTTGCAGGCAGGTAGTCGATCTTGAGCTGCTCAGGCAGAGTTCTGTGTTGCTCAATGTTGCTCCAAGCAGGTGGTTAGCGCGGCCCTGCAACAGAGGGTAGCCATGGAGAGAAGGTTAACGTGCAAGGCAATGGCTGTGCTCTGTTGCATCAGCCTCATTGATTGCATAAACTTCACGATGCTCATTCCTTATGTGGATGAACTCGTGGCACATGTGCTTGGGAGACCTCCTGGAGATCCCGGCATATCTATTTGGGTTTCCGTTTTGGTGGGATCCTACGCGCTCTGCGAGGTTCTCTTCAGCCCCATGTGGGGGATGCTGGCCGATAGGTTCGGCAGACGTCCAGTCTTGCTTGTTGGGCTTGCTGGATCCGCAGCGGCTTCGCTGTTGATGGGCCTTGCCGACAGCTATCCGGCTGCTCTGGCTGCCCGGCTCTTGGATGGTTTCTTCTGCGGCAACGAGTGCGTTGCAAACACTTACCTGGGCGAGCTAGTGGACAGCGAGAACGAGGCTCGAGCCTTCGGCATCCTGGGCGTTGTCTTCTCATTCGGCCTCTTCCTGGGTCCTGTTCTCGGTGGAGGTTTGGCACGCCCGGCAAGCTGGGAATCGCAGGTTTTTGCGGGCACGCTCTTTGAGCGCCACCCTTTCCTCCTTGCGAACTTGCTCTTTGCCTGCTTGGTGGTAGCTGTGTTTCTTCTAGGCGCTGCCGCTTTAAAAGAGACCCGCGGGCATGAGCCAGCTTCAGGCTTGCTGCGAAGCGACGAGGCAATAGACGCGCAGAGACGCCAAGCTCTTCTTCCCCAGGGCCGAAGACTTTGGCAGCTCTTGATTGCAAGCAGCCTTCTTTGCGGCTACATCGCGGCTCGGTTAAACAGCTTCATCCTCGTCTCCTCCCTGCCGAGGACGTTGCATGGCCTTGGCATATCTTCGCAGGAATTTGCAGGTGTTCAGGCCTGTGCTGCCTTCATGTTGGCCCTTAACCAGACGACTTGCTATGGCTGGCTGGTCAGAAAGGTCGGGAATCACACTGGCTATGCCGTAGGGTTGCTCTGGACGATCGCCATCACCTTGCCCATGCCCTTCTACTACATGGGTACTGACGCGAATCCGTCCGAGGTGGTTCGTCTGCTTCCCATCACAGGCTGGCAGGCGACGAGCCAGCTTGGATTTGGGATTGCCTTCCCTCTTTGTACCTGGCAATGCTTGAACATATTCTACAAAAAGTAGTCCAAGTAGAGTACACTCCTAAGGTCCTAAGAAGCACTGCAAGTGCCTCCAAGAACAGCCTAGGTACGGTTCTCGTGAATAAGGAGTGCACAGCCCGAAATCGCGCGGTCGTCAACGGATGGTGTGGCTCTCTGAATGCCCTGGCACGTGGCTTGGGACCGGAGCTCGCCGGTGCCTTGGTACACCTGGGCTGCTCCCTAGAGACGCCGGATCTTCGTCTCGGACGGTACCTCCCCTTCTATGCCAATCTGGTGCCTGCCGCCGTCCCTCGATCGGATTTGGGAGAGTTTTTGATGCCGCGGCCTGCTGATGTACAGGTGACAGCCACGCAACCAAGCTTCTGCTGCTCTGTCCGCCGCTTTCCTAGGCATGCTCCTGGAACGCTAGCACCCCCAACCCTTGGACCTTGCCTGCCATGTCCGTGTGAGTGCCGCAACTCTGAACCCTAGGCCCTTGGCTCCAGACTTCAAAGCAATAACGAAAGCGCGAAGCTCGAAACCTTTAGCGTCTTAGCAACCAGGTCAGTGCTATTCTGGTCCTCCATCAACGGCCTCGAAGCCGAGATTCCGATGGAAGCACAGCATGTGAACTCGGGACACAACCAAATGAGCTTTCATAGAGCCCGTAAAGACGACCCGGATAGAACCGTTATGGGGGGGGCCTTTGCAGAAGCCTTCAGAAAGATAAAGAGCCGTGATAAGAGCCTTTTGTAGAAGCCTTAGAAGTGAACTGGGGACAGGCCAAGCTCAAGGCTTGCCTTCATTAGGGTTTGGGGGTGTAGGGTTTCGGGGCTTCGGGGCTTCGGGGTTTCGGGTTTCAAGGCGCGCGACTTGATGATGCGTGTGGCAAAAGAACAGCTCTGTGGGCTTTGGCTTCGAAATGCCCAAAATCGTGCACCCACTCCCGGGGCACATGGAAGTGCACGCGGCAACAGGAAACATGCATCCAGGTCGAAAGATCCGTGGAAGTCGTCTTGCTCCGAGCAACCATGCACATGCTTTTTTTTACTTGCAGTCTAGGAGCAAACTCTGCGATCAGAAACCCCTCGGCGCATGCTGGCTGCAGACGGCTCTATCGCTCTGTCTGGGTCCTGGAGTCCTCACGATTAGGGACTTACTGTTTGGATCCTCTGGTAAGGTCCCTTATTTCAGGCACTCCCACCTCTGTTCTTCGTTTGCCTTGGGTTGTCAGCGGTTGGTTCTTTCACCAAAGTCAGCTCGGCATCAGCACCCAGCGAAAGCGACCGCGCCCGCATTCCCAACACAACCGACCTGCCAGAAAGTAGAATTCAGCCAAAGGCACATATTGTCGTACCGGTGCGGTATCATGGCGCGAACAATGGCCAACAAAGGGTGCAGCCCCAAACTAGCTATGCAGAAGCACTAGATCGGCTGGTGAGAGATTCGGAGATTATACTTGTGCTTCCCGCATGCAGCCTGGCAGCGTTCACAGCTCGAAGCTGCATGCATTGTCAGTTGTGTTGACAGTCAGAAACGACCTGGCTGTCCTTGCCTGTCAATCTCGGACAAGTTGAACCTGGATTCCGTATTCACGATTAAACAACCTCGAGCTAGGTACTAACTATAATTGACCACCTGGTCTTTCTTCCAAATTGATCTGAATCAAGCCGTACACGTTTTAGGTTCCAGACAGGCAGATGCTCAACGATACCGAGCTGCTCTAAAACAAGAGCTCAGGAATGTCTCAAGCATAGCCGATCCAGCGCAAGAGGCAAGTGGTCGGGGCCCTGCGATCATGGCTCCGGCGCAGAAGAAGCTCACATGCACAGCCATGGTGGTGCTGTGCTGCATCAGCTTGATTGACTGCATCAATGCTACCATGCTAAACCCCTACGTGGACGAGTTTGTGTCCCATCTTCTCAACAGACGGCGTGGTGACCCTGGTATATCGATTTGGGTCTCTGTCATGGTGGGTTCCTACTCTTTGTGTGAGGTACTCTTTAGCCCCATGTGGGGAATGCTAGCTGAGCGGTTTGGCCGTCGGCCCATACTGCTGTTGGGCTTGGCTGGCTCCGCCGTGGCTCCGGTTCTTTTTGGTCTTGCAGACAGCTACGCCACGGCGCTGGCTGCTCGACTTCTCGACGGCTTCTTCTGCGGCAACGTATGCGTCGCACGGACCTATCTGGGAGAATTGGTGGATGCCGAGAACGAAGCTTGGGCTTTTGGGCTCCTGGGCATTGTCTTTTCACTGGGACTCTTCGTGGGTCCCATCCTGGGGGGAACCTTGGCGCATCCGGCAGCTTGGGCCCCCGGGTGGTTCGAGTCGACGATCTTTGAGGGCCATCCCTTCTTCCTCTCAAACCTGATTTTTGCCTGCCTGGTGGCCTGCGTCTTCCTGCTGGGTGTGGTGGCATTGAAGGAGACCCGTGGGCCTACAGAGCGAGAGGAGTCCTTCCTTGCAGCTCCCGAAACCAGCCAGGCAAGGTGGGAGCCGAATTCGGTGGAACGCCGTGGGCTGTGGCGTCTGCTGACTGTGAGCAGCATACTCTACGGCTACGTCGCTGCCCGCTTGAACTCCTTCGTCCTTGTGTCGTCCTTGCCTCGGTGACTTGGTGGTGCTGCAGAGATGTGCATAGTGTCGATGTTTTTCAATAGTGCGAGATCACGCGAGCTTCTGGATGCGGTGGGATGTGAAGAGCAGCCGAGGAGTATGCATGGCCTCGATGTTTCCCCTCATCAGTTTGCGTATATTCAGACATTTGCTGCGCTCATGCTGGCGTTGAATCAGGCCTTCATTTTGAACCATCGGTTGTTAGCCAGACCCCAGCCGAGATCCCAACATGTTGAGCCCTGAGCTAGGCGCCCGCACAACCTAAAGCCAGAGCCAGAAACCCTGAAAGGTGACCCAACCTCAGCCTTAAACCCGGGTTTAGGGTGTAGGGTTTAGAAAATCTGAAAAGGTTACAATTTATCCCTTCCTGGTGAAGAGATGTGGGGCTCACACCAGCTGCGCCATTGGTCTGCTTTGGACGATCGTCCTCACGTTGCCAGTTCCTCTCTTGTTCATGAAGCTGGGCCTTTGTTGTTGGTAAAGAGCTCATCGTCCCAATATAAATGTGCCATTATATACCCAAGAGCTATTCCAACTGTGAAGGTGTCCATGTTTTTTGGTAGGCATGTAGGCGTATGCATTATGTGCTACACATCCCCTCGGTCCGGCTGCAACACAAGGATTCTGTAGGATTGGCACTACTTGGTATATCGTTCATGCTCGAAGACTTGTCCTAAAGCTTGTCAAACCGCTTGTTATAAGAGCTCAAGCGTGTCTTGTGCTAGTCTAAAATCGCCTTTGGGTTTACGGCGTCTGGTTTTGGACACCTGTAAAGGTCTGTCGTCGGCCTGAAAACTTGTCACATCTCCCCGTCTAAATTTTGTCACGGTTCTTTGTGGTTGCCGGGTTTAGGGTTCAGGTTTTACAGTTCGTGTTGTTTTTTTGATTTTTCTGAATTCCGATCTTCCGCGCAGAGCAAGTTGGTAGTTCTCTGCTCAGGGCCCCTATGACACGGAACAGAAACGGGACCCTCATGCTGACAATCACACCGTCGCAGTTAGGACAGCCGATGTTGAACAAGCCAGCGCTTGGCGTTTGGTGCCTGTCGCTATCTGGCAGGGCCTGAACCAGCTTGGCTTTGGCACAGCCTTTCCACTGCTTGCGGTACTGCTGAACCTGGGGCGCTTTTTGTATTATTTTTCCTAAATTCTTGCGTGCCATATTTGTGGTGGATGGGTAAAATCCAGTTCCAAACGCTGCCAAGGAACAAGGAGTGCACAAGGCGCAATCGTGCTGTGGTCAATGGCTGGAGCAACTCATTGGGCGCCCTGTCGCGTGGCTTGGGGCCCGTGTTGGCTGGTGCCTTGATGCACTTGGGCTGCTCTCTGGAGACCGGACCAATCTTGGACAAAAGTTTTTGTTGATCTTGGAGACCCAAAACGTGAAGCCTAAATTCCCGAAAGCCAGCCCGAAGGGTTTAAGTCCAATCTCTGGATTCTCGGCAAAGGAGTCAGGGGATCTTCGTCTTGGACGATACCTTTCATTCTACGTCAACCTCCTGCCCGCATCCGTCTCTCACCTTCGATGTGGGCTTTAGATTTGAGACAGTCGAGGTTAAGGTTCATTCAGGTTTCGGCCCCAGGGTAAGCTTTAGCCCAGACCCTGTCAGGGCAACGCGACAGTCATGCCATGGCCGTAGTCCGTAGTGAACCAATGCCGGCGAGGCGGCAGGAGCGGGACGAGACAGGGTATCAGCAACGCGCTGACGGTGGTGGTGATGGTATTGGTATTCGCTGGCCGCAGTTCCTGTAGCTACTGCATGTTCTGTCTGCCCACATGTCACCACTTCTGCTGATGTTGTTCTTAATATTCAGATACGATCAATGCTCTCGATGACGATGCTGGTGACGATGGCGATGACTGCAAGGATGAACACCGTGAAGATGTTGAGATGAGAATGAAGTTAGTATTTGTAAACAAGGTGATCGTAACCATGACGATCGAAGCTACGTTTGCGATGATGATGCTCATGGTCAGTACCTGGCAGATGATTTAGATCATGTTCATGCCGGTGCTTATGCGGAGAGGCTGGTGATGCTTTCCGTTGCTGCTTACGATAATGCGGCGTGGGTTCGCATGACGAGAACGCACGTCCGAGGTTGGAACCTACTTGGTGTTCCGCCAGCGACATGTGGCTTCGTTGCAAACCGTTTCCGACACCTCCGCACCGGCGCAGGGGGAGGCTGCAGGCAGTGAGGCTGCATGTGAACTCGGAGAACAGCAGTAGCTGGGTACTCTCAGTTAAGATGTTTCTGCAAAGTGACAGTTTGGTGTTTCTGTGCTGCTGTGCCCGACGATGCTTACCATTCGTTCTCTTGCACCCGCGCAACCTCTGTTCGAAGAACGGGGTGCTTTCGCTGTTCCTGGCGACCCTCTTGGAACAGACCTCTCGTTTCCTTTTAATACGCGCACTGCTTTTATGGACGGAGTGCTTTCGCTGCGCCTAGCGACACTCCCTGGAACATGTAACTCGTTTCCTGCTGCGAAATCCCAAGCCCTTAAACCCGGTGGAGCCTTACCCGAAATCCTTAAATCCCTAGAAGGGGGCCCCCTTCGAGTACCTTAAAAGAGCCTTAGCCTGAGCCTGGGCTCTGCTCGGAAAAGGTGACAGAGCTGTGTGCTTGTCGGTGCTTTTCCGAGGAGCTTAATAAAAGTTTCTTCAGAGGACACTTTGAAACGAATCTGCATCTATCTGTCTGTCTGTCGGCAGACATCTGTTTACCCAGTACCAAGACTCCTAACGTCCTAAAGGTTTTAAACCCATGAGCCATATGCAACCTTCCTCACCCCTTTTGGAGTGCTAGGCTATGCAGCCCTATTAACGAACTACTAAAATTTGTCTTGAACCCTCTTATAGAACCCTATCAAAGGAACCCCCATTATAGAACCCTTATAAAGGCCGAACCCCATTATAGAACCCTTTGAAAGGCCGGCTCCCTTGAAGTCCGCGTAAAGTGTCAGGCCAGGCTATGAAAAGAGAGCGGGAAGAGAGCGAAGGACTGCAAGGGCCCCCTTGCAGTTGGTCCTTGCTCTCCGTGTGCTTCTTACATGACTAGGGTTTATGGTTTAGGGTTTAGGGTAACTAAACTATAAAGAGCCCAAAACCTTATTCTAATTATTAAGGCCCCTACGTTAGACTTGTTGTTTCATGATGTTTGTGGGGTTGAGGGATAAAGCTTGTCCAGGTTCGGGAAGGTCCAGAATCCGGGAGCTTCCGCTCGGTTTGTGCCTACGCCGATGTCTCTGTAGTGAAGTGAGGTATGCGATGGTGATTGCCGATGATCGTGCATGTCTACATCTTCCGTTTTCTGTCTGGCACCCCGAAACCTGAAATCAGAAGCATTGGCCCTCAGCCGAGAGGCCCGAAACACTAAGCTCCTGACCTGTGCTCAGCAGAGATCTAAGCGAGACCGGCTCATTCTGGAAAACAGGGACTCACAACTTCGCAGCGCTACAAACCCAAGCCTGCCCAAACTGGGCGCTCCAGGTGTAGGGATACTCTCCTGCAGTTAGAAAAAGGGCATCAAAACAAAAAAGCCACACCATTCGCCCCATCGAGTCTTCGCAGGAGCTGTACCTCCGGCAACTCAGCCAGGAAGGGAGTTTTGAGAAGACTTTATGCGATTTGGGGCCTCGCAGAAAAGTAAGAACTTCAGCGTTTAGTTTGGGGTCGTAGGGTTCGAAGTGCAGGTTGGAGGTTTCGATGTCGGGGCTTAGAAAAAGTAGGTCCAGCACGAGGGACAAGATTCCGCTGACCCGAGCCTCGACATGGGTGGTTGTCAAAATTATGGTCCCTTTTTGGGTCCGTATTATAATACGGCACCTTTTATTTTAGGGTACCCCAAAAGGGACCCTAATTTTGACAACTACCCACATGACCCGGAGCCGTGGTTGCCTTTTCGGCGGTTCCGGGGCTTTTGGGCTTCAGTTTCTTGGGGCTTTCGAGAAGAAAACTTCCAAGCCTCGGAGATTTAGAACACGAGCTTGGAGACTCAGCAGGGGAACTTCCAGATCCACTTTGAATGCGAGGTTTCTGTATTGATGTATGCCGAAGGGGCACGGATAGGTCAAGTGAATTAACCCGACCGCAAGGTCTTCAATCGCATACCCTTCGAGCTTTCAGTGGGTGGTTGTGTTCAATACGAAAACTTGGTTTATTTTCTGACCACTCCAGACGAGATCTTGGAAGGATGGGCCAATCAGAGCACTCATGCCCACACGTGTGATGTACGACCCTGTGTGCAACAAACATCGCATTCAACGTCATCATCGGGCCATAGATGTCAAGACTTTTGGTAGTTTTCAAACCTTTCCCGGCCAGACTCCTACCTCAAACCCTGACCCCTAAGACAAAAAATTCCAAACCTGAAGCCCTGAACTTAAGGACTTACGGCCGGAACTAAACCCGTGAAGCACGGTAAAGAAGTAGAACCCATGACAGCCTCCACGCCCGCATCCATCCGGTCTAGAACCCTTTATCCGAGGCCGAAGGTGCCGAGGACGTGAGCAGCAAGCGACAGAAGACATGATCGAGACCCCCAAAAAGATGGCGAGCGTTTTGGGAGTTTGGGGGGGGGGGGGGG